CAAATTGCTGAGGAGCGCAACTACCTAAATACAAGCTGATAACCAAATTGGCTGACAATGGAGTAACACAATGGGCTGAGAAACATGAATGTCATATAGAAGTGCTGGCAGCCATAATATGGCTGGCCTTATGAAATAGAACCAATGGTAGGAGACTTACAGTTGGGATGTGAGCAGACATGCCCAGGAGTCTCCCACAGGGTTCCCTTCAAGGTCTTTTCAGTCGGGTCCTTTGCGCTGACAGATGGAAGGTAGAAGGCTGTCGGAGCCATCATGTTTCTCAGCCCATTATGTTACTCCATTGTCAGCCAATTTGGTTATCTGCTTGCATTTAGGTAGTTGCGCTCCTCAGAAACTTGTTTTGAATGCTTTCCTTTAGGCATTTATCTACACACACAAATGTATTCAATTCATGCAAAGTAACCATGTTCTCTTAATGAGGATCCACTGGATCATACAGACACTGAACTTTATAACGCCATATAATGTAAACTATTCATTGAGTGCTTCTGTCGTTTAAAACATTTGATCCCAAACATATTTTGCATACAATGGGGTTGATTTACTAAAGGAAAATATGTAGTTCATTTGCAAAGGGAGTTTCCACTATGCAAAGGAATTTTCAAGTTATAAAGGGAATTTTTCCTTAGGTCGAAGAATGGAGAAAAAAATTTACTTTGCAAAGAATAACTGATAACGTGCAAGGAAAATAACAAAACAGCAGTATTGCTTGCACATGATTGGATGATGGAAGTCTGCAGAGCTTCACCTCATTCAGTAAGCTAAATTTATATTCCCCTGCAAAATGAAAATTCCCATGCAAAGTTAACAGCTTATTTGCCTTTAGTAAATCAGCCCCAGAATGTCCAGTGCTCCTGTTAGGTTCTAGGCTAGGTTCTAGGTGTATATGGACATTTAGGATAAGCTATCTCTTTAGGAAAATACAGTGATGTGATTTGCAGTTGGATGTTCCCATCCAGTGAGTGTGTCTAACCTCTGTGAGCCTGGGATCCGCACAGCAAGGCTGCCTGCCATTAACCCCTCCATCATCACAGGATGCCTGCCATTAACTCCTCCATCACCGCAGGCTGCCTTACCCTCTCCTCTACCAGTGCCATTAACCCCTCCATCACCACAAGCTGCCTAACCCCCTCCTCCACCAGTGCCATCACCCCTCCATCACCACAGGGTGCCTTACTTTCTGCATCATTACAGAATGCCTGCCATTAACCTCTCAATCACCACAGGCTGCCTTACCCTCACCTCCACCAGAGAATGCCTGCCATTAACCCCCCCTCCCCCCCGATCATCATAGGCTGTCTTACCCTCTCCATCCCCCACATGCAGCGTCAAAGCCCCAAATGACCGCGGAGGTGATAGAGATTCAATGGGAGTCACTCAACAGAATGACAAGCTGTCATTAAGCAAGTGGCTGCCTATCAAATAAATCCATGTGTTTCACCTGCAGCTCTGTAGCAATTAAAGGCCTCAATGCCACATGTAAAAGATGCCGATGCCTCCATGCAGCATCAAATCAAGAAGCAGAGGGGTGGCACCGCCGGACAAGAGCCCAACCCACCAACAGTGCAACACCGGCGGCGCCAAGATCCTTAACTTTTGCAGGTTTGATGGGGAGGGGGGTGCTTGGAGGAACCTGGCCTTGGGGCAGCAGAGAGAGAGAGTAAATCTGGCCCTGTATGCACCATAACTTACTAGAGTATTCATACTTGAACAATTTTCGATCTGAAAAGGGGGAGGATATTCAAAGGATTACAAAAGAGTTCCAGTACTTTAGAGTCAGCTGCATTGCTTGCACATATAGGACTGTATGTGACAGCCCTTAGATTTCTTTATATATTCAGTTTAAAAAAAAAAAATCATGCCAACACCAATATTATGTAAATTACTATTAACTGGTTGTGGGTCATACAACTTAATGTTACTGAATAGATCATGACAATATAATCCAATTGCAAATGTCAACTGTTAAAAAAACAATATCTTCTTATTTTAACTTTTTAATTGATTCCTTATGTAAGACTCTGTTATTGAAATAATTTGAATCATTTTGCAAAAGCCAAGTAAAGCAGTGTTACACTCAATAGAAGCAAACCACAAACTGTCTCCAAATTACCATTACATTTTAGTTACCAGTAACATTAAACATATATACCAGGTTAGGAAATCTAAAAATGAGTTGTAAACATAGCAGTATCTTTTTTGTCTATCTTTTTGTCTTTAACGAGTAACGTTATCAGCAGTGCAAAAGGGTATTTTCACATTGTAAAGTTTATAAATAAAAAAAATCATAAAAAAATTAAGCTGTGTTCACTTAAATCACCCAATTATGTTTAAGAAAAAAAAAAACCCTGCTTTTAAATTTCTATTGCACACCATTGAGTATACAAAGTGAACACAGCTCACTTTATTTACTAACTATGTGAACATATACCATGCTAACCGAACAACCTCTACTCTGATGGAAATTCATCATCATTGTTTTTAAAGGTAAATTTCTTGTTAAACCCAGAAGAAACACAGTTGTGTGTGTGTAAAGTGATGGTTTATGATTTTTGTTCAGTCAATATACGAAACAAAAATGGCATATTACAACTTATTTCATCACATTAACCTTCATTTCTTTTTGAAAAGAAATATGTAGATGCCACAAACAAATTGGATTTTACTGCGGAATTCAAGCGATTCAAGCCTGGCCCTCCCAGTGGAAAGGGACATTGCAGAACACATAGACAATACATTTAGGTACATAAATTGTCCAAAATATGTAGAGCAATGCAGCATTTGTACAGTCAGTTTTTTGCGGTACACGTCGTACCAAGATAATGAGATACAATTAACAATGCAATTCAGCCAGTAGGCAATTGACAATGAAGCGCTGTCACAAGACATTTCCTGGGAGAATTAAAAGACATGGTATTCTTAACCACAGATCCAAAGAGAAATGTACGGACTTTTAATTAGTACAGAGGAATGGATTGACACAGAATTATGGAAATGACACAATAAATCAATTCAGATGTTATATGAGGAGGCAATTTACTAAAGAACTATAGGCTTGCATCCACTGGGTCTTTCAAATGTACCCAGGCAACTTTGATGTGGGCTGCAATCAACAAGTGTGGTGCAATGAAAAGTTAAAAAGAGGAGCTGTATTTAAATCACATAATGTGCACAGCTCTTAGTAACCACTGCAGGCTTTGAAGGAAGCGGAATAAAGCATTTCATTGGTTCTTCTTTCAACATCTCTTGAAGTCTGCTTGTGAATACAGAAAGGTGTACTGAATATATGATCTACACAGCTCTATCTCCCTGCACTGCTAACTACATGTAAATGTGTCTGTGTCCTAATACTTACACTAGCAGTGCAAACCTATGTATGTTGTAACATCAAACAAGATTGAGGGAAAAGTTGAAAAAAATATATTAAAAAAATCTTTAGACTCAAACTGGCTATTTGCAAAGAACACGTGGAAAGTGGGCTAGCACCAGAATGATTCCTTTAGTAAATCCTCCCAATGGTCAGTTTTCATCTGAATACACTTCCCATTTTCCTGCTGTGATGTGATGTTTAATTTCTTGTACACAGTCTATACACATGATAGCAATGTTTGATCAGCTTGACATGTCTGTGCATATCATACTGTGTGTATAAAAATCTGTATTTTTTATGCCTTTGTTTTTATTTTATAAAGATGTATTAAAAAGACAAATAAACATGCAATTATTAAAATTATACCTTTAGAAATGTCTCTGGACACAAGAATATGATTTTCCATATATTTTGTTAATAAATAAGTCTTAGAATTATCATACTAAATTATTATGGCACATATTTGCTAAGGGAGACATTTCCATAAGACAGCTCACAATGTCAAACTGAGCTTAATGGCAAATCCATCCTTAAGTTGCCTTTTGGAATATGCATTGCTTAGTAAATATGACATTTTGTGGCTTATTTAAGATGTGTCTTTGGTGCAAATCTTGTGCAAAACTAAACATACTTTTTTGCTAAATATGTCGAAGTTAATGCTTAAATGGTTAGTGGAGCAGGTACTGCACCTGGCCCTGGGGTCTGGAGAGTAAAAAGAGGCCCTTTTATTAATAAAGCTGTTGAAAAACTGTGGATAAGAGGGCACACTTTTGATCTCTGACATCACGACTTCTGATGCCTTGGTCCATTGGTGTCCCAAAATAAACATTTTCATTTAAAAAAAAAAACTATTTTAGGAACCCCTATGTAGAAAATCCACATTAAAGACACTTTATAAATAAGCCTTTATTATTTATTAATATAATTTAAAATTGGTGCTATTAAATGATTTAAACTGGTGCCAGTTTTGAAGGTGTTACTAAGGCTTTGTATATAACGGTTTCCTTATTTGGTTAGCACTCATGGGCTTAAAGTAAACCTGCAGCTAGGCTATAGACATTTAGATACTAACATTTTCTTAACAAGTGGTAAATATGCTTTGGCCCCTGTAGCTGCAGGCACCATAGAGTCATTTATCCTAACATTCAAGAATAAGAAGGCTGGCAGGCTGCTAAGTCACTGCTACAAGTGGTGAGGTAGGTGAGCTGAGCTGCTGAAATGAACTTAAAAAACAACATCTGCATACACAGTAGAAGGAGGTCAAAGCCAGGATGATTTTCTTGCAAAGGCTGTGCAGTGTCAGGCAGGAATACTTAGGGAAGATCATGAGAACTGGGAGAAAGGTGCTTATTTTACCAGGTGGGATGCGGACAAATTCATCAAAAGTAAAGTTGTTCTTTAAAATACTTTCTGCTGGAATGATAAGGATACTATACTTCATGTTGCCTGCAGCTACAGAGGTCAGTGAGGACTTGTTTTAAAGTTTTTTTTAAAATAACTGCTTGTATAAAATATGTAAATATTTGAATGTCCATAGCCCTGACTACAGTTCTACTTTTAAATGTAAACTTTCACAATGACATGTTTAAGGAATATGTTTGTTTCTTGCTAACCTTGCTCCAACAGTCTTTTTGAACACATTTTGAACAGATTATGTACTATCCTTTTAAGACCATACATATAACAAGAGTTGTAGCTCTGAGGCACTGCTTCCCATAATCCACAGAGGGAAAAGGAAACAGGAAAACAAAAACTCATAGAGTTCGACAGCTACTGAGGCAACACTTGCCATTTACAATATAAGCCCAATTTTTTTTTCTTTTTGCAACACAACTATATATTAATTTAATAAAATACACAATATAGCTCTTATACACGCAACAATTTGGCTCATATGCACTAAAATTGCAAATAAATCATAAAAATATGTAATTTTGATGTAAACACTTTAAAATCTTCTTACATTTGCACATTTAAATGGTCATGTGATATTTGTTTTTAATGAATAGGACATCTTACTTTCCTGAGCAAATTTTAGTGTCCACAAATCAATTAAAAAAAATATTTCAATTTTATTGGTCAACTAAGTACTTTACTTTTAAATGGCAACAATATTTTTTTAAGATCCATTTTTTAGCAGTTGAAAAACATAATTATTTCCATATGCAAACAGCTGTTTATTTTTGTAGGACACTAAAATTCGAATTCAACACTTTTCGTACATAAAGTGAATTAGCGTATGCAAGTGCAGGACACAGTAAGTCGACTATATAATTTTTTTATATATATAACTATGTGTGGCATGGGAATGCACTACATGACACTGACAGGTTGAACTGGAAATTTTTTTGGAATGTTGATCATTTATATAGAAATGTTAATCACAAATGGGTGCTGATGCTTGGTGCAGCTAAGACTACAGCAAAAATTAGTTCGGACTTTAATTAGAAGCTAGTGATGTTCATTTAAAATCCACACATATATTAGTTAACCCTGTTAGGTAATGGGTTCTTTTCCTTAGCAAATTAAGTCACACCAACTACAATGGGAAGTTGCACAACTTCACAAGTAGCTCCAGTTTTGTTCCCTTTTACACCAGATTGTCAAATTCCACCACAACATATTTTTCTTGAATTTGTCCAAAAGTATTTTTTTGTCAAAATAAAGCCAGTGTAATTTGAGTAACAGAAAAAAAAGACAGTGACAAGAATTTGGGGGCACTTTAAACGTTCACTTTTAGCCACAAAGCAGCATCTGTCCATCATCTCCCCTGAAAATGTGCTGTACCAAGGGAAAACTGTATGTAACTTCAAAAAAGGCAAACACAATAGCCTCTCTGTCCATTTCACTTTCTAACAGCCACAGGTTCGCTGCCTCGACAGTCTTGCAAGAGCTTATCAATTTCTCTCACAACTTCCTCAGCATCCACGGACTCTCGCCCTAAATCACGGTTTGAATGCTCCAGGTGTTCCAAGACTGCGTCCATTTCACTTGAGTCTCGGCTCACTCTGGAGTGCACATCAGCAAATACACGAGCCATTGGGTCTGATGCGATATACTGAGGGTCCTTTGTCTGTTTACTAGGTGATATGTACTGACTTTCAGAGGACAGGTATTGATTGGTTGTTTCTGCCAAGACTCCTGATTTTATTTCACAGCCATTCAATGGTCCCTTAGTTGAGGCACAAGGCTCAATGCATGTCTTGGTTGGACTGCTAGATGCAGAGGGAACCTCTTGTAGCAGAGGACTCAGGGCACGCTTGGCTTTTAAATATGGTTTTACATTGGCAATGAGAATGGTGTGCTCTCGTTTGTCTTTCCCAAATGTACAAAATGTCTTTTTTCCAGTGGGATTCACAGTTTCATAAGTTTCAGTCTCAACATGAGCTTCCACAGTTGGAACAAAGAGATTTGTGCGATAATCGGCATTTTCAACCTGGTTTGCTGTAGGAAATTGCGGCATCCAACATCTGTCAGAATGGCCAAGGACTCGGCATTCATCTGTACAATTAACACACTCCTCTTGCTCTGTAAAACAAGAACATATTTTTATTTTAAGGTGCATAAAATACAATGAAAAGGCATACACAGGCCAGCCATATCCTCAAAAAAAAACAAGTTGTTAACATCAAAAATAAGATAAGAGGTAAGAGAGCTGTCCAAAAACTAATACTGTGAATAGTGCTACAAAAATGCTACTGAATGCTGCAATAGTGGTAGTTTTATGAATTGTTAATGGATTTGAGGTGATGTTTTGTAGTCACTGGTCTAACACATACTACTGTAATGGTCAGAGTTTGTGAGCCAGACAAAACTGACATCTAGGAAATTGAAAGATAACTATTTAAACTTCAAAAACAGCATTTAAAGAAAGTACTTAGAAGGCTCAGAAAAGTGTCAACTAGATACCTTGGAATGCAGTAAAAAGGCCAAAGCTGGTTGGTCACTTATTTTATGCTTGTTTATGCTAACTAGATAAAGCTGCATAAAATGCATACATGACCGAAATACAGTTTGCTTTGACTTCTTTACATAAAAAGATTTAAGTTAAGCGCTTGAGTTCCAGGTGCCATATTACCACAACACAGGGACATTGGCTATTTGTTGAATTGTCATTTTAAAATGGCAAAGAGACTCAGCAGCTCCTGTGGGTCCTGGCTAGCATCTAGGCTGTAACTGGTGATTTTCAGTGACAGCTGACATCCAACACTAAGCCCAGGAGCTGAAAGAATTAGCCCCTGTGGTTCTGATACTGCTACACATCGCTCCATATGAGCACTTGTAGCATATCACTGTTCTTTTAGGTTAGAGGCTTGGGGAGAGCTGCAGCAGCCCCAAGTTTAAAAGGTAAAAAAAATAAGAAGATAAACAAAATGCATACTATGACCTACATACAACTTATGACAAACACATTTGTTCTTGCATGCTTCACATTGTAGCATCAAAAAGGGAATACATCTCTCTTCTATAGTAAAGTGCACACATTCACTTTGAGCCTTACTTTTGGGGTAAATTTCTGGGGCTGTGTTAACTATGTAAATGGTAATTGTTTTCACTATTTCTTCCTAAATAAACCTAGAAAATTAAAAATACATATTATCTAATATATATCCAAATCTACTGCCTAAAAAAAACTCTATCAGTCCTGGGAAAAACAATGTATGATATATTAAAGGTAGACTACAAAAGCTAAAAGATATTAAGTGTGTAAAGAAGACATCACTGAAACAAAACAAAAAAGGCTCCAGAATTCAAGGGTGTTATAGAGTAAAAAAGGCTTGGTGGATAAGGTTTTATATATTACTGAATAAATGGTAGACCATGGTTAATTTTCTTCATCTATACATTGATAAACAATACAACCTTTTAAGAGTTAGCTAAAAATATTGCTGTAACTCAGGCTTTATACCATCTTTCTCATACATACATCACAAAATTGTACTACAGAAAATAAATTAACATTATTATCTGGTCTTGTGTCTTGAGTTATAAGTAAATAGGTGATCCTTTTTTCTGTACCGCAATCTGACTTGTAATCATTGCTACATTTAAAATTTGGAGGAGGAATATTTTGTTCAAAGCAATACACTGTTGTAGCTAGCTTTTGTACACGTACTTGGTTAACATCTTAAAATTCACGTTATTATGTATACACAGTAATCATTCTGAAATAGGTTCTCTCATACTTTATTCCTTTCCACTGGTAATAAAGCACTGAGCAACTGCGAAGCTGTCACCAGCCACACCCAGTGTCACATTATTAATTGGAACATGACCTGTTTTCCTGCTCCCTATCAATAGCACTAAAGGAGACTTTCCATCTAATTGCGCTGGTGTTCTAAACTAACTAGATATAGCTATAAATCAAAAAGACTCATTATACTATCATTTGAAAACCTGTGTCCGAATCTATTCTACATTTACTGATAGGTGAAACACCTAAATCATTGAAGAGGCAAGCTACTGTGAGCTGTCCAGGCTTCTAATTAGGACTATTCACATTGAGATTAGCAAGTGGCAAGTAAAAGTCTTACTTGGAAACAAATCATTTAAATACATTAAAGGGAATCTGCCATTAACAAAACTACTTGTGCAAGAAGTCTCCAATGAAAGCGGCAATGCTACAAACTCTGGCTGCATACTGGCCACAGGGGCAGTGAAGATGGCATTTTCACCACTAAGAGATATATACCTGCACTGGAATCAGTATGCTGCCCCAAAGAAAGCTGCTGTAGATGAAGGCTTTACACATAGGAGGTATTAATTGTCACTCTAGTTAGGATAAAAATCACAAATAAATCAACATTAAAAATAAGGTGTATCCACTTGATATTGTTTGTTCAACATGTGATTTATGTGGGGATGTGACTGGCAGCAAGGCAAGATGGCTGCAGTTTAAAAGATTTCTCTCTGACACCACCTTAAAAGATATGGAAAGATCTATAAAGAGTCCCTATATTCAGACATGATTTCCATTATGCACCAGCTCAAAACAGAAATCTCTGAAATAGGAGAAAGAGTGCACCACATTGAAAACAAAATGGATGAAGATGATCACATGATGATAATCTCCAACAGATCAAACTCAAGCTAGGAGATCTGGAAAATTGTTTACGCAGAAAACAAACCTCAAATCTAGTTACCATTATTATACAGGATTTATATAGCGCCAACAATTTGCTCAGCGCTTTACAAAATAGTGGAGACAGTACAGTTACAATACAATTTACAGTACAATACAGTTTCAGAACAATAGGGTTACCATCAGAATTGGTAACTCCTGCAACAATAACCACACGTCTGCCTTCTGTACCTCTGAATGAAATAATCACAGGTAGAGCACACAAGCTACCTAAACCAGCTCACTTGCCTGAGAAATTACCCAAAGATGTATTTGCTCACATACACTTTTATAATACAGTACAAACAACTCATGCTGTGTCCAGGGACACCTCAACATTATTTTATGCAGGCATTACTCTACACTAATCTCTCAGAAATCACAATTACGGCTAGGAAGAAAATGCTAACTGTTACCTGTTAAATCTCTGTGAAATCATAATATGCCCATCATGAGGGGGTGCCCCATCAACATCATTGCCATCAGTAATAAAAAAAAACATTTCCTCAAATTGCATTCCTCATTAAAAAAATCTGACCTCGTTCCAAACTCTGAAAAATGTCAGAGGTCCTCCACAAAGAATACTTGGGAATACTTCAATGCTCTGGCGCCTTGTGTAGCACCTATACAGAACTATTTTAATCCCCATCAACTTTTTTTAGGTGAAAAATCCTGTACTGAAAATTTGTGTTGGATTTAAGTCTTAACCTGTTCCATTACTTGCTTTATTTTTTTTTTCTGTTTATACCATTTAAGATCTGCATCGGGTACAATTACTAACCATTAACGTGACACTAAACTCAGGAGTTAATGCGCAACGCGAAATCCACAAAAAACGCGCATATTTGATACGCCTAGGTGTGAACCCAGCCTTACTATTAACAAAAATGTAGCTTATTTGTGCCTCACTCAGCTGTAGATCTTCAAATTATCTCTGACATCTTAGTGCTGTCCATCCATCTGTAAGGTGGCTAGTTTTGTTCTCCATGGTGCTTGTGTGTGTTGTAAAGTAGCCACCACTCCAAGCTCACTCCTGTGATGGACTTGTTGTTGAAATTTTATTATATGGACTCATGTGGACATTTTTATAATAAGATGTGTGTGTGTTCTATAGGTTGTCATCTGTCTCCCTATGTTGGATTTAACCAAGGGACGCTACCGTCAGTATTCAACCTTCTCATGGGCTTAGAGACATGTTCGCGGTGTGTGGGCGTTTGCCGGTTTGCGAGTATCAAGCGCAATGCGCTGGGCTTATTGCCGGCGAACGTCTATACACATTAGCAAAGCGGAGTCTGCATAAAGAGAGATACATACTATATTTCTGTTGCGGCTGCGCTATCCCTTTTTGGATACATATCTGCTTTTACGAGAAGACATTGATATCTGCCTTGTCAGTATACTGGTACCGTACATTGACAATAGCATTAGCAATGTCCCCGAAGATAGTCCCAAACCTGTACGAACAAAATAGAATGATCTTACTAGATACTGGTCACTCTGAGCAGTATTGAATAGGGTCCATGCTGACTAAGATGGCGGATGTACATACATGTGGCTGGTTGGGGCAGTGTACATGACTCAGCACATCATAGTTAACACTAGTGAGTCATGTGCACTTCTCTGCTCATGCACGTGGGTGCCCTCCCCTTTTCTGTTGTCACTTCCTGGGATGTCATTGTGCATGAAGGAAATAGTAGGCTGTTGGGGCCTCCCTTTCCTGTTGTTACCCTTTTGTTGCTATATAAATAAACAGAGCTAGTGGTCAGGGCCACTTGAACACAGAAACTCCAGCTTGAAGCAACACCTTGTCTTGACTCTACCTGGCACTACAGAAGTACCTTCGTTTCTTGTACAAAAGAGCTGAATACAACAGGCTTTTAAGCGCAACGGAATTGTTTGTGCTTGGCACACTTTGATGCTGAAAGTACACCTTTAGCGCGGCGTGGATTTGTGCGTTCAGCCCAAGCGAATTTCCATAACAGACTACAATCTCAATACAAATTAGTAAAGTAAATGTGAGATTGTAGTTCATCACAGGAGTCTGTCATGTCCTTCTCACACCACTCATATTTGAGAATTAAGATATTTGTACAGAGACATGGGTATTTAAAAACATTCAAGATACCCATCTGATGTCCTTTTAACATAAACAAATCACCACTTATCTAAAAAGGACCTTTTTGACCTTAATGCAACTTTTGGCATGGATGTATTCAACTGTGGAGACTTGGTGTTTCTCTATAAGAAATTTGAGCCTGGGTACATGGTAACATATGCCTTAGTCTAAAAGATCTGAGCAAAAGTTTAACAGACATACAAACCTCAGCACAACTGTTTGCAAAAAATGAAACTCTTCCATGATATATGCTTTTCTGCACAAAGCATACCTTAAATAAGAACTTCATTA